TAATATTTCACATGCTCGGATATATGTACATTTTACATATATGTATATTTACATAGATCTGTATGTATTAATCGAAGATAAACTGTACCAGGCAACTGTCAAATTGTCGACTCCGTTCAGATCTGCTTTGCTTGCCCTGAGATCCGGCAGCACGTTCAGGGAAATAGGTCCGACTACAGTTGGAATCAGTGGGCAATTCATCATTTATAAATGTTTGTGTGTGTGTGTGTGTGTGTGTGCTTGCTGGACTACGAGATCCCCTGATTCAGGGGATCAGTTGCCGAATCAGCTATTTTGTAGCTAGATCTAGATTGCTACACAAATTTTCAAACAGCTATTAACTACAAATCTGGCTATTTTCAAATATTACATTTAGCTTAAATTCAAGCAAACTTATAACAAAATTGGCTTCGATACTTTTTAAATGTAAATGATTTAGATGTATTGAGTTTTGTGTAGAATTAATACTACAACTGAAGAATAGGTAAGCTTTCTAATATGTTATGCAAAATTCATTTCTTATCAGTTATTATATCCTGAACCCATTGAAAATGGGACATCAGGGTATAATTTTGGATAGCACGCCCCCTTTTGCCACCATTTTGTAAAAAACGCATTTCAAGTGCTAGAGACTTGTGCTTTGGAATGTACACACATTTTAACCATATGACCACGTTTTGAAAGTTTCATTAAGTTTGTATGTCTACAAAAGATATGGATTACGCCGACATGGCAAATGTTGCTATGAGTATAGCGTTCCAGCCAACTACCTTAAAAAAGCAAATTATAAAAGCTACATGGTGAAAATGACGAGTTGGTGGTCATAGATGAGATATTATAAGAATTAAATTAATAAAGTTGACTTTTTATGAACAAAAACAGCACTGTTTTCTTTTTTGCTACTTTTTCAGCTATTTCAGCTGCCCCTGAACCCTTTGAGCAACAGCTATTTCAATCATTTTTCGCGTGTTTCTGCTTACAGAAGAAACAAACACACAAACATACACACACGCATACACACACACACACATACACGCACACACACAGGCACACACGCATAAACACGTATGGGCTGCAGTGTGCGCTTACTATGAGAACTTAATTGTTTAATAACTTTTCTTGCGGATTGACTATCTTCATGAAGCTTTTAGTTCATGATTATAAAAATAACGTGCGCGTATTTGCCAGAGCACAAGTCTCTGGTATTTGATTTTTCGATTTTTGTGATAAACTCGATATCCGCGCTGTACATACGGACATTTACAAAAAATTTCAAGTCTCCAGCTCTTATACCATCTGAGATTGAAGCGTTCATACATACGGACAGACGGACGGACAGACAGACGGACAGTGCCAAATCAACTCAGCTCGTCGCCCTGATCAAGAATATATGTATGTACTTTGTGGGGTCTGCCACGCCTCCTTCTGCCTGTTACATACATTTCAACAAAACCATTATACCCTATTTCCCATTGAAAATGGGCTCAGGGTATAAAAATATATACATACATATATATAAATATAAATCTATACATGTACATATGTAAATATATTTATAGGTATGTACATTGGATATGTATGTACATATACATAATGCGTAGACATATGTACGTATGTGTACATGCACATACATGCACATACATGCACAACTTGCACGCTGTCACAATCGCCCTCTATTTGCAATGAGTAGCGAGTGCCAGATTGAATGTACACACACACACACACACGCACACACACAGATGTCGCGACGCCTCTATTCTTGAGACTTAAGACGCTGCAGAAAACAGAAAACAGAAAACAGAAAACAACAACAATAAACATAAGAGCAACTGCAACAAGAAATGCCAAGGGAGACGAAGATTTGAATCCACAAATTCATAAGCGAGCTGCGCACACAATGCGGATTTACAAAATAGGAAGAGGAAGAGACGAGGATAAGTAAAAAGAGTACGAGTAAAAAGTAATAATAAAACGAATTAATGTACTGTAAATATACATGCGTACATATTTCTGTACGTATGTATGTATAGGCACAATATAGAAAGGACAAAAACAAAGACAAAAACAGACCCAAATGAAAAAAGGAGAAAAGAAAAGAAAAAATGAAGAAGAAATACCCACACATACGCAAACAGACACCCATACATATACGAGCATACACATGTATGTATATGTGCACATTGTATTGAAGGAATTGTTTTCTTTTGCCTCCTGTTCTGAGAAACGGGTGCTGCACAATGCTATTCACGATGAGTCTGGCTCCGTGGAGGAGGCGCTGCGATGGGGGTAGGGGTAGGGGTAGGGGTAGGGGGAAAGTTAAACTGGCCAAGCCAAGAGAGATAATAGACATAGAGCCAAATGCCTTAGACAGGGAGTGAGAGAGAGAGAGGAGCAATGCCCAAGTCACCAAAGCATCTTTCTCAACAGGGGAATGAATATAGAATATGGCAACAATGACAACAATAGGCCAGGTTCGTCGGCTGAGGCTGAGGTAAGATTTCGTTAGCAGTTGTCGAGGGCAAGTCCTACACACGTATATATATGTATATATATATATGTATATATATTTATTTAATAAGCGGACATAAGCGGATGTTGGAACTCGAACATGAGATCTGTTTATATTAATCACTATGGAGCATTGCTTTAACGGGTATATTGGTTCCTAATATGTAGAGCTTCTACCGATCCTATAACTGTGGGTGTCTCACAAATATGCTTTAAAAAAAGCTGCAATTTTGTGACAAAAGTCGGACAAAAAGCTGATGGGTTTTGCTTTGATGTGATTGATATTTAAATATATTTTTAGTAACTAGAAGTCATGGCAGCATTTCTTCAACCGTGGCAAGCGGTATCTGTAGTTTTACACTATATAGGTTTTACCTGACGCTTCAAATTGAGTAAGCATATCAATATTCATTTTATTGCGTAGTTATGGCTTTACAATATTGACCTGACTAAAACTTCTTACAACTTGCGCGTTCGACCATGGCAAGGAAAGCAATGCCATTGCAAAAGTGGCCAAGTCCCTACATTTTTTACTTCCTCCCGAATACTTATCAGCGCACCTCTCACCCTGAACTATGTAGAGTCTTAAGAATTACCCCACTGAATTGGGTGAATATTCTTATATTGGAGCTCAATACTTTCAATGTTCTTTGAATAGAATAACTCTAGCACTGGAACGATACTATTTTTGTTTACTCGCAAAATATATACATATGCAAGAAAACGAATCAACATTTTTCACTATTTGAAAATTTCCCGGCAACCTATTAACTAAAACATATTTATATATATTGCATACGTTCTTTTTAATTGCTTTATAACTTTTCCTTTTAATTTGAATAGAATCAAGAAGTTCGATTGCTCACGATAGTTATTTTGAATAAAACATAAATCATATTTTAGTTTAGTTAGTTCCAGTCTATTATCGATCGGTTCATTCATAGAAAATGGACCTAATGAACAATTTAGTTTTAATTCAACTGCAATGACATCGCCACAAATTATGATAAATTGATCACTTAACATAAAAGCGGCAAAAAGCTAATTAGTTTTTAAAAAATCAGAGTTTCCGCTGCCCACTGTTATTGAATTTTTCCCGCAATTGGATTTTCAAACAAGTAAGAAGACTCTAGTCGAGACTGCTACACTAGGAGATACCCTGAACCCTCTAAGCTGATATTCTAATCATTCTGCACTTCTTTTATGCATACATACATACACATAAATCCACACGCACGCATAAGCCTGCGCTCTGCTAATATATTATGAGAATTTATTTGTTGAATAATTTCTGTTGTAAACATATGATCTTAATGAAACTTTCAGAGTGTAATTATATGGTGAATATGTGTGTACATTCTAAAGCACAAGTCTCCAGTACTTGAAATGTGTTTTTACAAATTGGGGCAGAAGGGGGCGTGGTATCCAAAATCTGTAAATTACAAAATCTTTGTATCGATTAACTTTATATGCAACGCAAATTTAAAGACTCCAGGTCTGAAAGTGTTCAAATTAGTCTAAAAAAAACAAAATCAATTTTTCGATTATTCTCGATAAAAAAGTTATCGGATGATTTATCGAAAAAATAAAGCAAACTCGTACTGCGTATGGGACACACGAGTATGCATGCCAAATTTAAGCATTCTAGCTCTTATAACTTCTGAGATCGACGCACTCATACGGACAGACGGACGGACGGACGGACAGACGGACTGGGCTATATCGACTCAGCTCATCGCGCTGATCAAGAATATATATACTTTGTGGGGTCTGCCACGCCTCCTTCTGCCCGTTACATACTTTTTCACAAAACCATTATACCCTGATTTCCCATTTTCAATGGGTTCAGGGTATAAAAAGCCAGATTTGACGGGAAAGAAGCTGATTTGACAACACTGCTTAGATATGCGCATGTGCGTATATGTAAGTATTTACGAATCGTTCCCTGTCTACCTGTGGGCTATTGTTGTGTGTGTGTGTGTTTGTCAGAGACGGATAAAATATATAAGTCGCATATAGAGCACATAGTAAAGTATTCGCAGCAATAGTAGTAGAAATTAGAATTGTCGTAGCAGAGTAATACTATTAAGTTAGACATCGGCCTATTACGTAAGTAATACAGCATCATAAATAGTCAAAACTTTCAGACTATGATATAAAATGGATATGCATGTATTTGCCCAAGCAGAGTCTCTAGTTTTTGAAATAAGAGCTGAATCGACTCAGCTCGTCGCCCTGATCTAGAATATATATGCTTTATGGGGTCTGCCACGCCTCCTTCTGCCTGTTGCATACATTTAACAAAACCATTATACCCTCATTTTCCCATTTTAAATGGGTTCAGGGTATAAATAGTACAATGATAATAACTATATAGCATAGAATAGAGTACTATAAAAAAGTGCTTAATATCATTAATCGCAAGAGATCTGATCTGACTTGATCTGATCTGAACAGAGTATATTATAGTGAGACGCCTTCGGCAAACTTACCAATGAAATTAGGCGATGATGATTCACCCCATCACAACATTGTATGCACTGAAAGAAAAAGATGACCTCGATCAGTTTAAAATTAGCATAGGTTGATTATTTTATTAATTTATCTAAGCTCAAGATCGGGTCGGGACTATCGATTATTGATTATTGAGAGTCAACATTATAGGAATTCAATGAGGTAAATTTAAAACGAATATCAAGTATAGAGAATCGACATTTGAGAATCGAGTATATTGTATTAAGGATCGAAATACGAATGCTGATTATGGAGAATCGAGCATCGCTATTGTGAATCAAGAGCCGACAATCAGATGTAGAGTATGAAGTAACGATTATCTGGATTGAATATCGACAATAAAAAAAATCAACAAGCGAGATTCTATTATCTAAGGTCGAATATCGAGAATTGAAAGATCTGAGTAAAGTGAGCCGGAATCAGCAATACCTCGGGCCTCGTAATAAGTCAGCTGGTTCTAATTCACCTGTAATTAGGTAGCTAACGGAGCAGACAGCCAAAATTTGAGTAACTGTTCGCACACACTCGATCAGACCCACAGACAGATAGAAGAGAGACAGACATATATGATTACCCCAACCTGAATCACGGCCAACTGACTGCGCGGCAATCCACGACGAAGTTGGGTCTTAAGTGTTGGCCAGAACCCAGTTCTCTTTATGTGTAGACACCCTAGCAAGGCTACACTGCATACAAGCGTCTTTCTAATTATGCGTTATTATACGATATTATTGTTGGATGCTTTTTGCTATTGCTGGATGCCCTACCCTAAAGGTGTCTACAGCGGTATGCTCCGACTAATGGATGGATTCATATACTTCAGTTGAAAATGTATACAATATATATATACAATTCAAAGGACTCTTAAAAATGGTTCGAAACTTTTAATAAAAAATCAAAGAAACTTGGAATTAGCAAGGGTTTTTATTTAACTGTTGACACTTTACATATTTGTAATATGCTTATGTTCAAATTAATTAACCTTTGAAAAGAACTCACTTATACGGAACTCACTTATATTGAAGCATATTGCTGCTGCTTTATCAGTTTTGTTTTTTAGATAAAAGCATAAATAAAAGTTTTATTGTTTTATGCGTAACACGCAACCACACACAGTAAAGGTAGTTTCAGGGGAGTCCAAATTCAAATTCAAAGTTCTTACTAAGACACCAAGAAGCTTCGCAAATTGGAATTATCGAGTGTTTGACCATATGAGTGCGAATTACCGCCCCTTAGCAAAGTTAATTTGAAATATCAAGAGAATTTGTAGGGGGCACGTGGTTACTTTGAATTAACGAGAGGCTCGATATCTCGTAGGCTTGAAATAAAGAGAGGGGACTGTAACATATATATCTATGTGCGTGTGTGTGCGCACGTTTGCATGTGCGTAGGGTATACAATCTTCGATCGGCCACAGCACGGAGGTGTCTTGCCTCTTCATTGCCACTTCATTTCTTTAAACCTTTTCTTTTCTTTTTTTTTTGAGCCCCTTTTTATCGAGCAGTAATTAAATATTGCGTTCACGTAATTGGCTTTATTAGTGTACACACACTCAGACAGAGTCTGTATATACCTGTATACATGAATACATATATAGGGTGTTTTATATATGTATATACATAAAATATTGTATTGGGTTCTCGTGAGTATAAATAACTTTGTGTTCAATGAAGTAATATATTTTATATAATTTAGTAACAATAGGTCTAAACTCCCTCTCGTCCTCCTTTGACTGTCGATAGTCTTAACTTATATATATATACATATATGTATATATATATATATAATATATATACTAGTGACTAGTGTTGAGAGCGTTAGAGGCAGTAATCTGTTATACTAGCATATAACACTCACACTCTAGTCCTGTTCCTTTAGTCCTTTGACCAGACACAAGTCTTTAAGCATCTGTTGCACTATTCAACAAAGTTCAGTACAAGTTTATCATATTTCGATATTTTATCCGATAACTTTTTTATAGAGAATAAACAAATTAATTTGAACACTTTTAGGACTGCGGCCTTCAGATTTACTGTGTATATACAAATACATTGATGAATACAAGGATTTTGTAATTTACAGATTTTGGATACCACGCCCCCAGCTTGTAAACAAGTAAGAAAGTGTGTGCCCCATATGCACACACACAGACATACGTACGCACGCATAAACACGCATTGGCACGCATAAACACGCATTGGCTGCTTACTATGGGAACTTAATTGTTCAATAAGTTTTCTTGTGGATGGGGGTGAATATAGGGCGCGTTATATATACGGACCTAGGAAAAAACAATTTCAAGTTTCTTATATCTTCTGACGCGTTCATACATACGGACGGACGGACGCACGGACAGACGGGCGGATAGACAGACAGGGCCAAATCGACTCAGCTCGTCGCCCTGATCAGGAATATATGTACTTTGTGGGTTCTGCCACGCCTCCTTCTGCCTGTTACATACTTTTAACAAACCATTATACCCTGATTTCCCATTTTCAGTATAAAAACCGCAAAAAATATTCGATATTTGGCCAAAAACAATATCCCGATATACATAAATATAGCTTCGAAACAAAAAATATCGATATTTCGATCTATTTTCGACAACCTTACTTCTGATTTACTGTGTATATTATACTTGGGTAAAAGCAGCTCATTGAGGTGAACCGGCTCACTCGCTCTTTTTTGTGAAGTGAGCCAACTCACTCATATGGCTCACTGGCTCACCTGCTGATTGCTTGGCTTTTAAATGTTTATTCAAATTGCCTTGTGACTTGCAGCTTAAGACACTTTTGCAAATCTTGCATTTAGCCTGTTGCGTTCCCATGTCCTCAAAATGAGTCCAAATTTCGCTGTGCTTTCTAATTACCGACATTGAAAGTTTGATGAAATACACAATTCGCGGGAAAAAACGTAACTTTGCGACAACCAAAATGAGCTAGTGAGCCAAAATGAGCCATATAGAAGGAACTGGCTCACTGCCTCAGTTCAGTGAGCCATTCATTTTAGCTCACTCACTCATGAGCTACCCAAGTCTAGTGTATATACATGTGATGAGCACTCAGCTTTTGCAATTGACCGGTTTTGGAATCCACGCCCCTTCGCCACATGTACTAGAGACTTGTGCATTATAATACACACACATTTGAAGATTATGATCACGTTCTGAGAAGATAGTGCCAATAAGAAGTGCAGAATGAGTCGCATATCAGTTCAGGGTATCTCCTAGTCGATCAGTCTCGACTAGAGCCCTCTTACTTGTTTTAATTTTGGCAGATTCCGATTGCTCATGATCATGTTAAGCATTAAAAAACTGAAACTCAAAAAGTTCAATGCCCAAAAACTGGCAAACGACATAATTCGTGTGTCGTACAAAAGGTGTTGAACTATTTCAAATGCACGAAACGACGCCAATCGAGTGGAGTGGACACCGAATCACGTACGCGCGCAGACACACACACACACGCACGTGCGAAGATACCGCTCTAAGAGAGAGAGGGAGAGTGATTTTTTGACTGCCTTCGCATAGCAGTAAGAAATGTGGAACGAGCAAATAGAATGTAGCGCGTATGCGATCAATACCCCTTCCAGTGGAAGATTGGAATATCCCAATCCACATATGGAGTTGTGCATTATGTAATCTGCCTATGCGAGTGGGCAGTCTCTGTCTGTCCTTCTTAGAGGCCTGAAATTGCAATATACAATATATATATTATTATATTGTTTGATTGATTGCGATACCATAAACATAAACAGTAACGATAAATTAAATGACTTCTGAATCTTCAAAGAGGAACTTGGTCAAATAATTTTTACTTGGATTTCGACTCTCATATCATATATCTTGATATCTGAAAAATAATTTTACACCGACATGAATGCGAACGCGAACGCGAAAGCGAATTAATATTGAGACTTATCAGGAACATATTCACATACATATGTATATATGTAGTGCTTAAAATAAATATCTATGCGATGCAGTTCACTGTACAGGGATCTCTCACAATGACTGACCGTGATGTACGTAGTTGAACCTCTTCGACAAAACTTTAAGTGGAAAGAATCTTAATAGTAATTATCTTTTGTTTCTCATTTCATTCTTTCTCGCTCGCTTTTCCCTTATCCCTTTCTCTTTACCGCTGGTTTAACCCAAACTTGTTTTTGCTTCACAGTTCGGCCTGAGTATGTGTGTGTACAATTTCTTCTGCTTCTTCTTTCACTTCTAAGAGGTGTGATTGCGGGTGATTCGAAACTTTATTTTTGAACGAAGATGACTCCGAAAGCAATTTGAGCAATAAGAGCGCCAATCGCAGCGGATGTTGTCGAGACGTCTTTTCACTCGTAATTAAAAGAGATTATTACACACGAAAGAAGCTTATAGTGGTACATATATATACATATATATATATATGTATATATATCTGTATCTGTATTGTATATCATATTGATACATACATATCAAAAGTGTTATACACATGTGTATGTGCGCGCATATCAAAAATGTTATACATCATGTAATGCATGCGCAGCTAGTTTTATAAACCTGCACAATGGTATACTCACGCACACACAGCAAAAGATTATACACACACTATGTGCACATATATAATATATCTGTTGCATTAGATCTTATGATATGCTCCCGTATAACTTCTATATAAATGTGCCGAACGATATCCGCCTGTCCACGCCTGTCCGTCGCGTCTCCCCAAAGCATAGTGCTCCAATTTTAGGGTACACAAATATATATGGATTCCCCCATTCATAAATATGTGTGTGGAACGGTGAGTACGCAGTAACAGCGGAGAATTAATTGTTCACAAATTTGTAGAAATTAAAAATTTCTACGCCGTGAGTGCAATTTATTTGAGGTAATTGCTCTGTGGCATTAGGAGAAAAATTATAATGAAATTGGCGAGGTTATTATCGTCTCTTCCTCTTTCCGCTTCTGCTGCTGCTGCTCAACCGAAACTTCAACTTCAACACACACACAGACACACACACTCGCTCACTCACTCACAGA